GCGGGCGGGCGCTGGGCGCTGGGCGCGCAGAGCGGGCGCTGGGCCGCCTTCCTGCAGCGGCACCGCCTGAGCGGCGAGGAGGCCGCGCGGCTGCTGCTGGACGCCTAGTGAGTAGGGCCGGGCGCCGCGGCCGCCGCCGGAGGCCCGGGGACAGCGGCAGCGCCGGGCCGGGAAGCTCCTCTGCAAAACGGAACGTGCCGCAGTTGCGGACGGCGCTGCACGGCCTCCGGAATGCAGGAATATTAGTAAAGCTGGAGCGGACGTAGCGGGGTTGTGGGGGAAGATAATCAGCTCTTGGAGCTTTGTGCTGCCTTGCGCTCGTTGCTGTATGTTGCGCGCTGAAAACGCTGTGGTCTGCGCAGCATTTTGACACCGCTGGTGGTGGCAGAGGCCTGTGTTCTGTACTGCAGTGGCTGCAGAGGACTAAAGAAGCCTCTGCCAGCCCCGGGCCGTGGTTTTGGAGGCTGCATTTCCCGGTGTAGTGCAAGTGCTCAGGGCAGAACAGGGTCATGCTCTGTATTGGCTTCGAGGTGTTCTTGCACAACAACAAATGAGTGATCACAAAACCTCTGGCAACCTTGTTGTTGTTGTTTCCTTCTCCAGTGAATACAGAGGCTTGGTCAAGCACACTGGAGGCTGCCACTGTGGAGCTGTCCGCTTTGAGGTCTGGGCATCGCCAGATCTGCACGTTTTTAACTGCAAGTGAGTACTTTTTGGCTGCCTACTCTGACACATGAATAAAGCTCATATGTCTTTGCAGTGTCTCAGTGCTAGGGTAACACAGTGCAATGGCAGAACATCCTCTGACCTGTTTCCATAGGGTATGTTCCTAATCATGTCCAGTATGGGATCGGTGCTGGCAGTTTCAGGTACTGGTTCTCTGGGAAGAATTTCAGGTTTCATATCCATGTTCATGCAGAAAGTGAGAACTAAAGATCTAACGACTACAGGTGCTCAGCAGTGTGCTCAGAGCACATCAGTCCCTTTTTAATTTAAGATGTCCCTACATCTTGGACCACATGTGCTTCAAACGGGAACAGTTTTTGATTTCAGTAGTCACCCTCTTGCATGTAACTTCTATTTTATGGCTGATTTTTATTTTCCTGTTTATAAAGTAATTAATGTTGGCAAAGTTGACAACCTTTGGTCTGAAAGATTAAAGGTATTTCTTAGGGCTGCAGGTTGTCCTGATAAGGCAGTGGAAAATTGTGTACATGAAGAAAAAAAAGTGCCATATAATGTTTAATATAGCTGCAAGTCTTATCTGTGTACCTGCGTACCCTCCCTTCCATGGGTGTGCTTAACCAGATACCCCATGTCTGCTCTTGCCACTCCTGCAATGTAGCCACGAGCCATTCTCTCTGTTGTCAAGAGGTCTGTGGTAGGGCCGCCTTTTGCTCCATGCTTTGTCCACTGCTTCTAGAAGAATCGTCGTCTTTCTCTTTTACAGTTGCAGCATTTGCACAAAGAAACAGAACAGGCACTTCATCGTCCCAGCTTCACGTTTCAAGCTGCTCAAGGTAGAGTAAGAATGCAGTAAGAGCATAGGGAGCATGAGCCAAAGGAACTACCTAAGCCATGTGGTCCAGCGTTACCCTGAAATGCAAGTGGCAGCCAGTCTTCTGTCCTAGTCTTGCTTGCGGCTGGTTGGGGAGAAACGGTTGAATTTTATGCCATTTGGGTGGGTGTGTTAGTGCCTGTCACTCAGTGAGCTGGGGTTAGAGCTGCAGCAGTTCTGAGGCTTGACTGGAATGACCACATGGATGTACAGAGCACAGATTTTCAGAAAAGGAGCAGGACTGCAGAACTCTGTATCAAGTAAAGAAATAGGAAATGGGATTTTTAATTTCACGTTGCTTAATCCACTTATGTAGAAAATCTGCACTACTTTTTCATTTCTGTTTAGGGTGCTGAAAACCTGACCACATACACCTTCAACACGCATTGTGCTCAGCACACCTTCTGCAAAACCTGTGGTGTGCAGAGCTTTTATACTCCCCGCTCTAATCCAGATGGCTTTGGTAGGTATAAAGAGGAAACTTGACAAACTGCGGTAGTCAAAACTGACACCAAGCGAACTCTGGAAAACACTCCCTTGGCTGCTATCATGCCACAAAGCTGTGTCTTTATAGTTTGCTCCTAAAATGCTGAATGTCTAAAACAGCAGCCTGAAGCAGCAGCTCCTCCATTAAAAAAAGTCTTATCTATGATTTGTGGGCTTCTGTCTAGGACAGATTTCTTCTCTATTTACCTCACCCTTACAGCATTACGTGGGCTACCAGCACTTACCACCTCCTGAGATGCCCAGTCCACAGTGATACAGGCATCTGCCAATCTTTAGCCAAGAAGAGCATGTTTCCAACTACTCTCTCTTTCCTCAGGAATAGCTCCCCATTGCCTGGATGAGGGCACTGTGCACAGCATTGTCCTGGAGGATATCAATGGCAAAGAGTGGGAGAAGGCTGTGAAGGAACATAAGACCATCAGAGACATGTCAAAACCCTGATGTTCCTTCCCAGCAGCTGGATGTGGAGCATCACCATGAACCTGTGGTGAGGGTTTGCAAAATCAGCTGCTTTGTTGCCAGCACTATCTGCCTTCTGTTTCTTAAATAAAACTTTTTACGCTGCCTGTTCTGTTCATCTGTGACTTTGTTTTCAAACTGCCTCTATTCTATAAATTACCCAGGATTGGTGTTTTGGTACTTTGCTTTTAGCTGTGCTACAGTTTAAATCACAGCATGCACAGCAAAGGTGGAAAAAAAATCTAATCTAGGCTTTTATGCTTGGCCTGTATGGACATTTCTGTTTTAAAGTCTGACTTATAAAACTCCCATGCAAGATAAGCTCTTGCTTAGGACATAATACTCACACTGGTCTTTCTCTTTTGACTTCAATGAAGTTACCATGGATTTAAAGGAGAGTTGCAAGAGCTCAGCAGGCTCACATTCAGCAAAGCATCTATGCAGGTGTGCAGCTCTGTGGAAGAAAGGGAGCACTGAACTTAGGCGTATGCTTAAGCACTGTTCTGCTTAAGGGAGATTCCCAGGAGCTGGGAATTTGGGATCTGATCTTGGCTATGCAATGACTACTTGTGTAGATGATGGAAAATTTTCTGCAGATGAGTGCAAGCACTCCAGACATTGAAAACTGCTGACTTTGCTTCAGTGGAAGCACGAAAGTAGAACCCTATGCAAACTAGAATCCCTAGTAAAACCTCTGTATAGGCTAAGAAATGAACAACATTGGAAATGGATGTCTCCTCCACTTACCTTTAAACAGGAGAGGATCTTTAACTCCAGTACTTGTCTTTTAGGTAAAAGGAACAGCTTTTGAAACATCCCTTGCAATTTTTATCTCTGCATGCGTATTAAGTTAAAGATTTAGTTAGTTTTTAAGTTGTCTTGTGCCTCCCTTATATCCTTGAGTTGAGACTTTTCTGAGTTGTTCTCAAACCCCATGTTGTGAAGCAAGGATAAATGCTAGTGTTTCATGAGGGGCACTCTGGGAAGGTCAAATCTGAAATATGATATAGTTGAAAGCAGCAGTGGGACCAGCTAAGATCAGCACAATTAGAAAAAATCCCATCATTTCTGATGTTTATTCAAAAGATTCATCTTTAAGAAGTCCTGAGTGGCTAATGCAGGTCTTGTCATCCTGACTTTATCCGTGCACATGGTATTATCTTGGAAAAGTCACTCTTATGCACAGTGAATTCTGTCTTCTCGAGCATAACAGGTGATTTTTTTCTTCAGTACTTGGCTTAGCACAGTCTTTCTCGGTCTCCTCTCACTCCTGAAGGTGTGTGAGTGTTAGTTTTTTACAGAAGACGTAGCGAATTGATGACCATGTAACGTGAGAATAGCATGTAGAGGTGGCGAAACCAGAGGAGCTGGCTGCGATGACACCGCATGGCTTTCTAGAAGGAAAAATAGTTGAAAAACTTTTACAAGAACCTTCAAAACCTAATGTTAAGCACAGCTTTCTAGGCCTCTTGTGAGACTTACTGCTCATTTATAGAAAACAGACTATTCTCAGTAAGCATGGAGGGAGTAGTTAGGGGTTAAAGGCTGCCCATTCTGTGGGACCACCGGGCCTGGAGAGGCCCCTATGGCCCTTACATGGCGGGTGCTGTGCTGGTGAGGCTTCACATGGGTCCTGCTAGACACTGCAGATAGGTGCTGTGACACTCTCCTTGTCACCTAGCTTGTCCCCACCGTGGGATCTCATGCCTGCGTGTTCACATGCTGGGGAAGCAGAAATCAAGAGTGTCTGAGAACGCTCCGTGTCGTGTTCACACACTGCTAGTTCAAACTTGGCTGGTTCTATTTACAGGGCAACAGCTAAAAAGGAGAAATTGTAGGAACAAAAAGCACAAAGAAGTAATGGCACCTGTATCGGAGCAGTTTCCATACATAGTATCATACTTTCTTTTAGCAGTCCCAACAGCGGGAAGTTCTGTGCATGTCATTTGTGGATTAGCAGGACTGTTTGCTGGGCAAATATTTACTTGCTATGGAAGAGGATCGAATCAGATTTTGGAATAGGGACCTGTAACTGACTAAATGTACGCTGAGCTGCAAATCTACTGAGCACTACCATGCTGTCCACCCAGCACATACAGCAACCTGTTCACTGGCTTTTCATAAATTTCTGAAGATTGTCCATACATGACATTTATAATCCACATGTACATTTATTCCTCACGTTCTCTGTGAACATGACACTTGTGACTAAAGCCCTTGCAATGATGAGGAGCTATTCAAGGAGGTTTGGCAGCTGCCACACATCTCACCCTGGCTTGTTCTGCTTCCTCTGCTGTGAGTATGAAGAGCGCATCTCTGGGCAGCAAGCAGGAAATGGGAATATCCAGGATGGAGAGGTACTTGCGGAAGAGATTTACTGTTTCAAGCGTGAGCACGTGGCATCCTAGACAGAGAAAGAAGATGAATATTTTATTACCATAATGTTCCGGTAAGAGCTCCGTGGGTCTCTGCAGGCTCTCCTGTACTGCTGCTCAATCCAGCTGCTAGTCATACTGCCCCACAGGATCTCTTTGTGCTCCATGCATGTCTATGATCATTTGTACTGGTTCCTGCTCTTTATGTGGTCTGTGGAAGGCAACACTAGTTCCAAATAACAGAGATTTCTTTGGCTCATTATTTAAATGATTCCTACATATTCAATAGGCACAAAGGGAATGGCACAGGCAAGCCCCCTGAATGTTCTCTGATTCACTGTAGCATATAACGGAAATTCAGAATAGCAGGGAACAGTCCTTGGTTCATTTACAAGAATGAGATTTCCCTTTTCTACTCCAATGTGTAGCTAAAGAAAATATATTTACAAGATTCAGGGATGGCTATATCAAATACTAACTCATTCAGACAGTTATACTTCAACAGAGTTCCAAAATTCATTACTCAGATGCTTGCAGTGAAAAAGATGGGAATATGTATAAAGAATCTGCTGATGTGCATTTGTTTTCTGTTTTAAAGAGCTCTTTGGCCTGCTGCTAACTTCTCTTGGGCATTAGTTAGACAGGTTTATAATGATTCTTCAATCTGGCCCCTAACAAATCTCAGACAGAGAAGCAAAACAACTTTTCTTGCTTTTACAGTGGATGAATTTCCTGGAAATGCAAAGAAGCCTCCAAGGTAAAGCAGGGTGGTCAGAGATCACTGACACCGTTCCCACCCTGGCCAGGGGCCTGTGACACAACTAACCCAGGAACAGATGCTCTACACGGGACAATCCTCCGTGAGCCCCCGCATGTGGGATTCGTGTCCCTAACTCTTCCTAGTACCACTAACTCATCTCTCTGCAAAGAATTCCTTCTTTCCAGCCTCAGGAGGAGATGGGAATGGGGAGCTGGCCGGTGCTGCCGGGAGATGGCGGTGTGCCCCAGCCCTGCTTCCCGCTTGTCCCTGCTGCCGGCCTGCATCCCTGCTGGCTCCTAACCCACTACTGCGGCTAGCGCTCCCCTTTGCCCCCGCCAAAGCCCAACAAAAGGGGCCCAAAATGACTGCGAGTGAATTCAGAGTCTCTCAGTGTGACCTCCCGGCCCCTCTCGGCCAGGTCAGCCTGGCAGTGGACATTCAAGCCTCACTAAATGAAGGGCACGCAGTAAAAGTCCTCAGGGATCTCCACCTGCTGACAGCAAAGGCTGCCCTGCATGGGAATGTGAGATGAAATGAAGCAGGGAAGGAATGTACAGTCCAGCGAGAGATGGAAAAGGGGGAAGAAACAACTGCTCCCTGCCAACCAGGGTCAGACAAGTGCTGCCATTGATGAGTCTACCCCTGTGACACCAGCAGGTGAAGATTTTCAGAGCCTGTTGTGACTGTGACCTGGGCAGGATGGGATTAACAGTGTCATACAATCCCTCTAGGTTGGGAGAAAGGGCAAGATCAATATAGCCAGTGGATTAGGCCTGGAATAGAAGTGCACGAAGCCTGCAGCCTTGTTCAGCTTGGCTTTCTACATCTAAAACACTTATGCAGCAAGTATGCCTAGAATGAGGAGATTAGCAGCTCTATGTGTGTTAAAGGCTCCCGGCAGACGCTGGTGCACCGATTCTGCGGGAAGACAGAGCTGGTTATATCTGGATGGGGCCGGTAGCAGGGGAAGGTGCAAATCCAGCAGCTGTCTCCTCTTCTTGAAACAAGCCTACGTGCCTGTGCTCGGCCTGCAGAACATGATTACAGATTATAAAAAGCCCGCTGTGTTTATGCTGGCTAAAGGCATTAGAAAGCAAAGCAGGATATTTAGGGTGCTCATTTGCCTATCAGGGAGGCAGTGCAGGGCTTAGCTGGCTTTGGCATCTGCAGAGATTTTCTCTGCATTCCCTTATCGCCTGGGCTTACACAGGTTTGTCCGCAAATAGTTCCCTGTTCCCAACAGGAGAGCAGGACATTTCCCTGGCCTGAACATGCCTTTCAGCTCTCTCTAGACAGCCTCAATCCCAGCATCACTCCTGTTTCATTAAGCCCCTCTGATGCACAGCCCTGCACGCCTGCCAGATCAAATTATAAATACCGGGAATTTCAATGAGACAGGAACTATATTTGGAAAGGCTTAGTGTAAGCAGCAGCATGGGAGCTCCCCGTTCCTTTGGCGTTTGTAGGTCATGTCAGATGTGATGTAATCAGAACAGCAAAGCTTTCACATAGCTGCAGGAATTTCTTGATGCAGCTAGAGAAATGGAAATGTTGTCTCTATGTTGGTCTGTTTCAAACCTGAACCAATTTGGGACGCAGCCTGTTTGCCTTATGCAGGGTCGCGGTGTATCTTTCAAACCAACGTGAACAGCACATGAAGGTGCTTCAGTCTGGATAAGGACTGACAGGTAGCAGGGACATCTACCACTGCATCTCCTTATTCTTTTTTTTTTTTTCTGTACTGCTTGCACACACACAGCTGTTTGCTGCATTCCAAAGCTACACAAAAAGAGGGTCTTGGGAGAGAGGTTAGCATTAATAAACATTGTTTCACAGGGTGTGGAAATGAAGAAAATAGAGGCAAAAGCAAGTCAAAGGGGATTCTGCCATCTTGGCTCATTTTTCCTTCACCGGATTTCTTGGTCTGCAACCTGCTACCATCAGGGAATTAAAACTGACTTGCTGCGACACATCCAAATCCCACAGTGATTTGGGAATTAGTGTTCCAGAAACAAAGTCTGCTGAGGGAGCAGGGGGTTTACTGGGTGTTGAGCCTTCTTTCTATACTCTGGCCAAAGCACAGAAAGAGCTTGCAGTTTTATGCTTAAACTAGTCCCACAAATTCTTTCCCGAGCCATGCACTATTTTTTAGAAATAGGGGTTGTAGATCTGCTCTGAGACTGAGGAGGATGGACAAGGGCCAGCAGCTACAAGAGGTGGTCAGGAGCATCCTAATTTTGTACTTTGCTTCCTTCTCTTCCCTACTTGCCCGGAGAGTTTCTCAGAGATTGTAGTTTAAAGGTAAGAGTCCAATATTTCATTGTGCCAGTGCAGTTTTCAGGTATCCTTCCTATACCGACTACATTCTGGGTGGAAGCTTAGCTTAGATAAAGCAGTAGGGATGATATTTGAACATAAACATAATGTGGTGTTTTTGACAGAGCTGAAAACTGCTTTCTGTGGCCTCTGTTACCATAAAGCCCAGGCTTAATACTTTATTTATGAAGAGGTGAAAAAAATTAGAACTGAGGCAAGAGATTTGGAAATAGCACTTAAGTTCAAACAGCAAGAGGCCAACAGCAGAGCCAGAGTCACATCACTGAGACAAAACTACTCCCAAGGACAGGAACAGTCCCCAGACTATAGGGGACTATAGCAACTATAGGGGAGCCTAAACTGGGAAAAAACTGCAGGGAGATAGAAAAGCAACAGAAAGTTCAGCTGTGGGTCTCATTTACATTGCAAGTAGAGGTGAATTAGGCAGATGCAACCCTGAACAGAACATAAATGTAATTGTTGCCCAAAGCCTGCAGGGTCGTGGATGTAAATTTGTGACATACCTTCAGGTAGCTTCCGCTCTGAATGCAGGTAGCTGTGAGCAAGGAGAGACATGAGGGTTAGTATTCAGTGAAGTTACTCAAATGCTGATATTACATATATAGAGTCCGTACATTGTATTGACTCTTTTCTCTCAATAAACACACACTCAATTGCAGGCTCTCATCTTAAAGGAAGGCCCAGGAGTGTAGTGCGAACCCTCACTCCCACCTGATTCCACCATTTCTTCCCTCCCTGTGTCTCCAGGGACACAGTACAAATGACCACTCTTAAGTCCAATGGTCTCTCAGATTCCTTGTGTTGACCACCCTTAAGTCCAACAGGCTCTCAAATTCCTTGTGTTGCAGTAAGGGAAACTACATGGGGATGCCAAAGACTATTCAACTCTGCTGTCCAGGGACACCTGCTGAGCAGCAGTTCCTGCATAGGGACCATCTTCCTTCTTTCTAACTCACACTGGCACATGGTGGGACTTGTGCTCACATTTTGCTCACTAGGAGTTCGATCTTTCTTGGCCTTAGTCCTGGAAGGTTTGTGTAGCAAAAACAGTGAGAAGACGAGTGCAGGAAATGGCAGCAATGATGGCACTTCCATCAGGAAGCATGAACAAATGATCCTGACCTGCTGAAGGCATGTGAAGGTGCTAGCTTCAATTTCTTTTTAATTTTTCTCTCTTTTTTTTTTTTTTTTTTGTTCGTTTTCCTCCTCTAGCCTGTGGTGCATGGCCTCAGAGCACTTAAGCTCAAATCACTGTTTGCATCTCCTCCAAATTTGGCCCATCACTGCGATGGAGAGAAGCACATCTCCAGCAGATGGCACTCAGAGCTGTCCCACACCCAGGCTTGCTCTTTCATGAGAATAAAAAATCCAAACAATGGAACATTTGCCAAAAGGAGAAATGAAATAAAGGAAAAAAAGAAGTTATTCAACCCTGTGTTATTTAACACTGTGTAATATTTAAAGAGATTGTTATCATCTTATAGTGGTGTATTTAACAAAGGACAATGTGACAGTTCATGTGTAAATCAACCAGGGTAAAACATACATTTTATGTGAATTGTTATGTTTCTCCAGTCACTTTCAGACTAGGATTATCTCTATTGGTTAAGTTCAAGGAAAAGGATTAGCTACACAGGCGTAGACAAAATAGGAAGCACGGAGTAAATGAATACCCAAAGCAACTCAAAGCAAAAGTCAAGCCAGAAATGCAGGTCATGGCAGAACTCAAAGAGCAGTCAGAAGACGGATGCCTCGGATAGATTCCCCTGCCAATGGTCTCCTCTTCTCCAGAGCCAAAGATCTGCAAGCAAAACCACTTCCGACTGAGAATCACCCTGTGCTGCTGACCTGGCCACCTTCTACGTCACAGCTCAAGTCCTGCTGTTCAGACTCAGACTTTTTTTCACATTGCCTTGTAAACGTTACTACCATTTTTATTTTTTTTTAGGGGGAACAACAGATTTAAATATCTCCACTATTGTCTGCTCTGTTCTCCTGCCAGAGGCTTCATCCCCCTCAATGAGAATCTGGCCACCCAAAGAGGTGATTCAGCACTTGGTAAAGCTAGAGGGGTGGGAACTTCTTGATCCAAGTTTGGAGTGATAAAGCCATGAGCAGCTGTGAAATTTTGCTCACTATCCAAGGTACTAGCTCTGGACACGCTGCTTTGCCACAGAAGGGGTTTTCAGGACACTAACCAAGCAAATTAAAGGCTGTGAAGAAATGTTCGAGACAAGACATGACAGTGATCCTCCAAGGGTGAACTAATACCAACCTGGCTACCAGAAACAGAAGCAGGGGGAGATCAGCCCATATGGAAAAATTTCAGTAGAAACCGAGGGCACCTGCAACAGAAAAGCCCGATCCAGCAGCAAATTAAAAAGGTTTTGTGTGTACAGAAGTTCAGGGAGACAAAATTTAGTATTCTGCTTACTGAAAGGCCCTCAAGGTTACTGCCAGCGCTGACACTGGAAGAACAGGCATGCAGAAAACTCTGATTCTTTTCCTATCACTTTTGTCCTAAGCCAAATGCTCAGGGCTCAGCAAGCCTGGAGCTCCAGGAATGGCCTCCACCTTCCTGCAAGGCTGCAGAGCAACTAGCAGCTTTGCTCATTCGTATTTCTCAGGCTAAAGCTGGTAATGAATTGTACTTGCAGAGAGCAAAAAAAAGAAAAACAAAACTCCACTTCCTGCACTTATTCACAATACTAGCTAATCTTCACCCAAATCAATCTTCTCATTCTCATCTCCACCCTGCTGGAACTGTCTCTGTGGGACACCTCCAAGTAGGGGAGAGGTTGCAGCTCTCTGCTGTTGTCATTTTGGGAATGTTGTTTTAGAGACTGGACTTGCTGTGCTTTGAGTGAAATGAAAGCCTGGCATGAAATCCCAACAAGTCAAACAGGTTCTTTTTCCAGGAGCTCTTTACGTGTTTTCTTCTAGAAAGACTTTTCATCACCTCCCTTTCTTCCAGGTGATCTGAGGGGGCTTGCTCCTGCTCTCCCACCCAGTGGCTGAGCACAGCTGAACACAGGGACCCCTTAGTGCACCCGTGTTAGGATGTATCCTAACAGGGGGCAGGTCTCAGGTAAGCTGAGCCTGAATTCCCTGTCTTTATTCTGGGAGCCTCAAGGAAAGATGTCAGCAAAGAAAGAGGGCTGGCTCCTAAAAGGCATCGATAACAGGGATCTCCCCTTGATGGCAAGAAGGAGCTGAAACCTCCATTGTGGGAAATATGGAAGTCCTGTAGGGATGAACCAGGACTGAACCAGAACCCTGGTGGGTGGGTGATGGTTTTGGTGATGTTCTGTTCGGTGAGAAATTTAGTGAAATCAATGACTCTCTGAACAGCCTCCCGTACCAAAGGCAGAGCCCCTCGCTGAACCGCCTGTGCTGGCTGCTGCAGAGCACTGGGGAAATGCAATTGTCCAGAGTATGGCAGAGAAGGGAAGTCTTAAAGATGCAGCAGGGCTCTGTTTAGGATCTCAACCTCTAATCTGCCCAATTAATGGGATGAAACAGATGTGGAAGAACAGCCAGTCTCCCAGGAATTAGAGAGATACTAGAGAGAGATACTTGCCAGATGTTGAATGTTTACTATCTGGAACACCTCCTCCTGCCTTAACCGGACTTTCTGGCTGCTTTTCCGTGCACCCTGAACTACCCCATGTAGCCACGTGCAGTTTAAAACACTATTCAGACACTGTTCTCACACACACTGCAGGGCTGAAAGACAGCTCTGTCAGTGAGAAACAAGGCTGGTGATTCCAAGATCCCCTCGGTGACAGAGCTGCTCATTTCTCTGCACTTTCTGGAAGAGGAATGTGCAGTTTCACTGCTAGCAATCCAGTCAGCCTGAGAAAGACAATTCTGGATATGGTTTCTTTGGGAAAAAAGCCCTACTTAAGAGGGGATCCCTGCTGAGTACCAACAATTCTGGAGCCCTGTGCTCAGCTTTACCTTAATGGCACTCAACATGGAAGGACTGGGATGAATGAACTTGGTCAAAGTAAGGAAGGAGGGAGCAGGGGCTGAAGGAATGAGGCAAAATCAACAGGAGATGACCAGTAAGACACCAACATGATACATGCCAGGCACGAGACAGAGTCCTCTGAGGGAAAGGTCAGAGACTCAGGGAGTGAAAAACAAAGAGAGGGGGACAACTTTCCATTGACCTCATGGAGATAGTTTGGGTTCAATCACAAATACCACTCATAAGTTCCCTCATCACTTGGAACATTTAAGTCCATTAACCAAAATGCCAGAATTGAGCTGGACTGTGAAAGGACAGGCTGAAACTTAAGGTATTGAAACCTGTTCTTTGCCAAAGCTCTTCCTTATTTTGCAGTGACCCTAGAAGTTTAGCAGGGGCTAAACAGCCCCAAACACGCACACATTAATGCCATAGGAAATTCTTTTCTAAGGTGGGGCAAATAATAGTTTGGGAAAAGGATTTTCTAGAAAAAGGCATGCTTTCAGAGTGCAAATGAGATGCCACTATCTTGAAATGCACGGGCTACAGCTGCTCAAACTTAACAAGAGACAGGAGTCCCATTGCAGCCCCCAGTACTGTAAGAATAAAATGTTGCATCAGTTGTTGCACTTGCTCTAATCAAGCTAATCACCCAAGCTGCTGCCTGTTTCCTGCTGCCCACACCTCTCAAGAGCTGGCCTTGGAAATTCAACACAGGCAGGACCACACGTCTGCAGGGATGTCGTGCAGTCGATGGCTCTTGAAGAGAAGCCTCCCCACTGAACCTGCAGGTTTAGCTGGACAATGCACTGATCATTGTTCTGACTGCAAATGCTCCTTCTCCCACACGCATGCCCCAAATATTGCTTAAAACAATACTATTAAACAATACTATTAAAAACCATGCTGTATTCCATGGCAGTCATAAATGGGCCATTCAATATCCAGGCCATGACACAGCAAGGCACCAGTGGTGCTCAAGCTGCACCTCAATCAACTCAGGAGTGAAAAAGCCCTAAGTTCCCAAATATCACCTGGGCACAGTCTCATTTACAATCCAGCACCAAGCTGACAGCCATTCAGAAACATCCTGCAGGACTGAGAGTGTTTTTCCAAATGGAGCTGACAAGAATAGGCTCAGCTAATGATTCTTAGATGTAGCTTTTTATATGGCATCACTGATACAAGTTTTATGGATGCAGTTGCTATAACAACATAATGCACTGTGGTTAAATATAGCAGCTCCTATTTTCCACTCAGTTTGCTCTGCCCTAAGCATACAGGCTCTATTCTTTTTAGTTCCAGCTGGGATGAGATGGATTTGATTGCTCACTGGAGAAAAAGGTGATGCACTCCCACCTCCCCCTCGCTTTAAGTGAGCACTCCACTTTAGGCAAGCAAACAAACAACAAAACCAACAGTCTCCCATTTGCTAGGCTACTGGGCAAGCGGGTTTGTATTAAATGGAAATGCACAATGACTCATGCATCACCTTGATAGTACACGTGAGATCAGTGCAAATTCGCTCATTTCCAAGTACAGGAAAGCGATATTCTCAAATATTCCTGTCATGCAATATTTACCAGGCTTATTACTGTAGTGCCTAATGACTGGTCAAAAGTTGAGGAGAGAGTAAAGTGCCCTTGAGAGCATTTGAGACCTGCCCTTCCTTGCGGACGTGTTTATAGGATCCAGGCTCCCTTGGCTGCAGGGAAGGCTCCTGCTCTGGGGGATGAGAGGGTGGTGATAATGAGGCCGAGGCTACTTGGAGGCCAGTGGTGTCGCAGGGGTCAGTACTGGACCTGGTGCTGCTCAACTTGTTCATCAATGACTTGGACAAGGGCACTGACTGTATCCTGAGCAAGTTTGCAGATGATGCCAAGCTGGGTAGTGTGGCTGACACTCCGGAGGGCTGTGCTGCCATTCAGAGGGACCTGGACACGTTGGAGAGTTGGGCAGAGAGGAACCTCATGAGGTTCAACAAGGACAAGTGCAGGGTGCTGCACCGGGGGAGGAATAACTCCAGGCATCAGTACAGATTAGGGGTTGGCCTGCTCTGCGGAGAGGGACCTGGGAGTCCTGGTTCACAAGTGAGCCAGCGATGTACCTTTGTGGTCAAGAAGGCCAATGGGATCCCGGCTGCATCAGGAGGATGTTGCCAGCAGGTCACCTGGATGTGACCCCGTGCCATGTGCTCTGAGTGTCCCTGCTTGAGCAGGGGGATTGGGCTAAATGGTCTCCAGGGGTCTCTTCCAACCTCAGCCATTCTGGGATTCTGTGTGATTCTAGGGGACAGAACTGCTTTCCCACATCAAGGTGATGGGGACAGAACAGAGCTGCAGAGGATCACTTCCAACTCTCCCGTCTTTGCTCTAGCAAGGCTTTACTGGTTTTTGTTTGTTCATTTGTTTCTCCCTACTCTGGGAACCAGAAATAAAATACTGCAGGAGAGGCTGAAATCAAATACCAGTTTGTGTTCATCTCTCATCCTGTTTTTTTTTTTTTCCTTGTTTTTCCCTTGCACAAGAACAAAATCCACTCTCAAATCATGGCATTTCACAGTTCCTCCCTGACCTGCAGCTTAGACACATAGAAGCAGCTGGACTCCCTGCAAAGCTGTCAGGAGGGAGGAGGATGCTGCAAGGGGAAGGGCATATTTCTTCTGAGTAGTTCCTGCTCCTTTGAACATAACCTCTGTTCCAGAGCCCAAAGGGTATTTACATCCTTAGCACATAACGTTGAGCATCTGTTCAGCTATGTCCATTTCCTGCACGGTTTTGTTCCTTGATGCTGTTCAGAAATGTGTGGCTCCTGAAGCCAGGCATGTGTCGCACAGCCCTTCCTCCCCCTGCTTTTGCAGTAAGCAGCCTCTTATTTAGTGAACACAAAACAAATCTTCCCTAGATCACTGCACCAGCCCTCTGCGCTCGTCCTACCTACAGCCACAGTGCAAGACCTTGCTTAAAGACTGTTACTAAACACTCTGCACAGGAGGGGAGAGTTTATTTGTCAGGTAGCCATGGGGCCTTTGGGGGGCCAGGGCCAGCGAGTGCTGCTCCACGAAGCTCTGCTGCCAGGGATGGATGTGAGAAGCCTCAGCACAGGCTCCCAGCACTGTCTGCACTGGCCAATATGTGAGAGCTCATCGGGGCACTGCAAACCCGGAGAGTGATACGGTCACGCTCTAGTTCCTCCATGACACAAACTGGAAAATAATGAGAGCAACCAAACCACTAAAAATAAGTTTAACCTCTCAGTGGCCACAATGCTACTCTTGCTTCATGCGGATGACTGAGTCATCATGCTTGTTTCTGCTGATTCAGGACTGGAAAAGAGATGAGACCCAAGCCAGCCCTTGGTTAATGGAGCTATTTATACCCTGGAGTCCATATCAGCGTGTATTTCATCAGCCCAGGACAATGATCTGACTGTAGGCTAAGGACTAATGCAAAAACCCGAGCTCCAAGTGTTTACAGATAATGATGTTTCTAGTAACAAACTCAAGAGATGAAAAAAAAAGGGTTAAAATCCCCACTGCACAAACAGGGAAACTAAAGCTCAAAGGTGGGAAAGTGATTTCTGCACAGCTCTGAAGCCTGACAACAGCACAGCTGGGATCCAAATCCAGAGGTCCCCTCAGCGCCGTCACACAGCTGCTAGCTGCATGAGCTGCTAACATGCTTCTCCCATAGCAATTCGGGATGCAGGGGGGCACCTAACAACTTGCCCCCTGTTCCTATTTGCAGCCCAGTGGCAGCTGACTGAGCAAACCCTGAGAGCTCTTTATTCTCCCTGTGCCACTGGTGTGAGCCTCGGTCAGCAGTTTCTACCCCTCGCCCACGGGACTGGCTCCTCAAACAATATTGTGCTGGAAAACACCTCCCTGCTTTGCCCAGATGGATACATCATTTGCTTTAATATCATCTCCTTTCCTTCTGTTTCAGCAGTTGCTGGGAAAAGCAACTCATCCCCTCCAATTCGGAATTTCAGCCACCGGAGAGGATTAAGGACTCAGCATCGGAGCTCGGTAGCTCACAGCACTGGGTTTTGCAGCACTGCAGCTTTTCTCAGTCAAGTGAGAAAGGCAGATCACTGTGGTGCTAGTAAGGAGAACCTGAGAGTTATCTGGATTGTGTAGGTGGTTCAGAAAACAAATGGACACTAAAATTACAAAATATACTCGCAAAGAGTCCTTCTCATGCAAGGGAAAAACATGGGCAGCTCTGGGGGAAATCTCTCTAGGACACAACTAGATCTGAATGAGCAAAGGATTAAAATAAAATAACACTAGCTGCCTTGCTACGCAAACTGTGGGTGATTTTAATACAAGGGGTTTTTGTCTAGCATCTTTCATGCATCACAGCACAGAGACTCTCAGAAATAAAAAATAAAGCACAGGAAGGAAATGACTCAGGAAGAGCGGTAAGTGGGGACACCCCTACTGAATGAGCAACTTCCTTGGACCAGAGAGATAAAGTCAAAGCAATTGCAAAGCAATTTGTGACCTATGGCATATTTTCGTGGAAGAGTTTTCCTATCGCAGTGGTAGAATCAGAAGGTGCTGGTGCACTGAGAACAAGGATGGCAAGTGCCGAAAAGAACCCAATGAAAGGTGGACTGGCAGAGCAAGAGCAGGTGGAATAGAAGAGCTGCTGTAAGTCATTTACAAAGCTGCAGGAATTCCTCTGCATAGTATTGTGCCCCACAGCCACATGAATGGCTGGCATTCATGTTAATCAGCAAAGTTAATAGTGTTCTCAGCTCTAACTATCAAAATTTGCTGCTCGCACACAAGCACCGCATTCACTCTCTCACACTATGGTGAGGCATCCAGAAAAGCATGCAGAACACTGTACCTTAAAGCAGTATAAAGAGAGGTGTGGTTTGCATGGCCACTCACTCCTCCCGCATCAAAGGTTACCACCTGCAAAGCAAAACCACAGAATAATAAGCACTTAGGGGAAGAGACTGTGCAACAACTTTCTTTGACATATACAGCACCTCCCAGTCCTTTGCCTATAGATACCCACTAAACAAGTAAGTGAAGTCACTGGATCTAAACGACTACACAATCTAAGAGCTTAAGCAGCAGAAAGAAAAGAATCACATTCTCAGGGGCAGGATGCAATGCTTGCTAATTATGTGTCCAAAAGGTCATTTTCAGAAAGCTCTGTTGTAAACTGCCTGTTCCTGACCCAAGTGACTCGATTCTATGAGTCACTCTCCCCTGGATCTAACACCATGCCTGTGGATTGCAGGATGAGACTATGGCTTTGCTGTATTGGGCATCAAGGCACAGCTGCTGGAGCAAGAACAACACAATCGTGTATTCCTGTCCTGCTTGTAATGAGGCTTCATGTCAGGATCCGACAGTGATAAAATAATCTGATCTGAGAACGAGCTTTTTTAAAGAATCAACTGACTGCATCTTTTGTACAATCAGCTCATGCTTTTAGCTGAATGAGAAGGTTTTACTGTTTACTGTTTCTTTGCAGGAAGAAAAGGGAACTTCAGAGTGCAGAATAATGTGTGAATGCAGCATTACCAAGTCACCTTCCAAAGCACAGAAAACCCTTGTGTCCCTGTCCTCAGGGACGAGGCATCTCCGCTAAGGGCAGCAAGGAAGAGCTCCTCCAGGCAAGCAGATACCAAAAGGCTTCTCCTTCCAACCCAGCAGACAGACTGGTGACACAAAGCCTGGAGCAGCAAGGGGACAAGTGCAGATAGGCTTTCCATCCCAGGAGAATGACTGTCCTTGAGCAATTTAAAGTCAGGTTTGTGCTTTAGAGGCCTGGCAGCTGAGCACTTCATAGCTCTCCTCTCTGCGACTGGGAAGAAATCATAACCTCCCTACCCTTCAATCAGCCCCTGCTTCCTTGCCAGCTTGTTCCTCTTCATGGAGGAAATGCTCCTGCCTTGCTTATTCACCCTTCCCATCTCAAAATCTATTTCATAAGCAGTGCCTGAAATACTGGGTTAAAGATCAAGGGAAGATCAAAAGCTACCCTGCCTGTCCTGCAACTTGCTACTCCACCCTGCAGCAGGAGAGGCCCTGTCAAACACAAGAGTTACTGTGTAAAGAGGGAGAGGAAACACACACAGAGACAGCGATAAGAAATATTCAGAAACCACCGACTCCTGACAAGGCTGCTTATAAAGCCACCCGCCCAGTACAAGTCCACAGTCAGACTTTCCACTTTGCCCAGGTTTGTACTAACGGTGCCACCAAGCAGCAGGGTTATTCACTGCTGGTAGGAAGCAGTGGAGCAGGCACAAAGAAGGATCTCCTGGTCACCTCCATTCTCAGGAGACCAGGTCCATGTGCTCTGGCTGCTTTGTTGGCTAGTCTGGGAGAGACAATATTATGTTCTGTGCACAGCCCATGGCTCAGCCTATCACCCTGCCATGCAGAGATTAGGGAAACCATGCTCTGAAGTGACTCCTACCTGGAGCAGCTCCTTCTTCAGATGACATCTCAGCCCACTCACTACGGGCAGGGTAAATTCCTACGCAGGTGAACAACACTGTGAGTCTATAAAAGGGCTGGACTTGGAGTTAAACCTTTTTACTCAGTGGAGGCAGAAAGGCAGTTTGTCTCTTTAGGTACCCTCCAGATATGTAGTATCTTTAGGACTGCTAATCCTGCTTGCAAATGTGGTCTGAAATTAGCCAATGAAGTCTTTTGGGACATGCATGTGCACATACTTATAAACAGAATTGCTTTATTCTTGTTTCCTTAGGAAGTCAGGCTCAAAACCTCAGGCAAGTCAAAGCAGACATTTCTCCTGTCATGGAGGGCATGAGAGAACAAACTAGAAGACTAAGATAAGAGACTGTAGTGACAGACTAAACAAGCTAATCACTATGTTGACAAAACTGGCTCAGGCCAATTGTAGGAGCACAAGGCTGAGTTCTTGACCTGGACATTACCTGTTCAGAAACATCTTTGGAGGCTTTCCCTCTCCACACCTACTCTGAAACAGCAGCTACTGTTCCCAGTGCTGCTGGGGTCATACAACGGCTGAACTAGCCAAGGAGATTGCACAAGGCTTATCTTTAATTGTTGTGGTCTAATTTATTCTTAGAACATTTGCACATGGATTGTCTGTCCCTTCAAACATGCACGTTTGTAAACACAGTTCCAAAAATACCTAAACATTGACCTGAACATGTGGCATTCACTTTACCTGCAGAGAGACCATCTTTGAAATATTGGCCCTTCCCTCGCAGAGACCCCTCAGCATCAGAGCTGTCATGGAGTAATGAATCTCATCTACCCACCACAGAGCTTCTAGGTCTGTTCTCTAATCAAGGCACTGATTCCACAATGCCAATGTGGTGCTTATGACTGCAAGCAGGCAGAAATCACATGTAAATATATTCCTCTGGCTTCAGGGATTCGTTTCATTGATAAGAAATCTCAGTTTCTTTCTCATATGCGGAAGACACTTTCACAAGGGAGCATTTGCTTCTTCCACATGGTGCAGCTCGCTGGTGTGCTTACTGAAATACATAACCTGAACCAGGCTGATGATGAAATCAGGCAAACAATCAGGCAGGATGAGAAAACCTGAACATCTTGAAACTGTCTGGCTCGAAAACAAGCTCAGCCAGTTCTGACAGCAAAAGGCTGGGATAGGAAATATACTTGATGTGGAAATTATTGCTCACTGAAGTCTTTAGGGCAAGAGGGATTTCCCTTCCCACACCTGTTCTGAAATGGGAGCTGCTGCTACTGCTGGGTTTTCTTCTGGGTGACCTTGGCATTCAGGAAATGGAACTTTCACTGGTGGAAGCCAGAGCTGCAGCCAAAATAAACAGGTTCAGAAATCCCTTCCGGAGGGGTGTGGGGTGCACAGAGGAAATTACTCAATTACTAGCAGAAGAGGAAACTCCTGAGAGGCCTGGAGTCCAAGCTCCTTCTACAAAACGCGTGCGTTAGAGAAAATCACCTAAAGTTGGGGGTCTCCCTCACTCTTTCTGGTGTCACTCAGTGCTTCAAATAGTGCATACTGTCTGAAGCTAGAGATGGATGAAGTTGGATGGTAAAGGAAAATTCAAATCACTCTCCACACCCCAGTGCCCATTGGGTTAGCCACGTACCAAGTGTCTTGAAATGAAAGTTCCTGGAGCCCTCCCACTCGTGTACCCCAGAGCACACTTGGATGGGCTGCAATATAAAAGAAGGGAGGAAATAAAGGTGCCAAAGTCCGTCCTCTGCTCTGTTGCTTTTCCAGGAAGTTCTGCTTGATGCACTTAGTGTCTGGTGCTCTGCAGACACACATAAAATCCTATTCAACAAACACGTGGATGCTTCTGGATTTTAGGAGATAACAGCTGAACTCTCTCAAATATAAGGTCCAACCTGGGTATCATTTGTAGGAGGGTTTGGCTTTCTTTCAGACCCAAGACAGCAGGACTCTCCCATGAGCGGCTGAAGGGGTGATGCTTCCATCAGTCTATAATGGAAAAGAGCCTTCAAGAACCTGTGTATTGCTGCGTTCTCATCCTCGCACTGCATCTGCCCCAAACACAGTCTGAACGTCGTCCCTGATCCAAGCTCTTTTGTCTCCAAAGCTGAGATCCTGAAGACTACAAATTCATCATCTAGAGGCTGCCTGAGACTCCGCATCACACTATGGCAGTTGTTTTTTACACATCAAATACTTTCTATGCTGGATCGAGACAGACTTGCCTTGGCTGCCTCTCCAAGCAGCACTGTCTTTTGCTTATAAATCCAGCAGGCAGGCAATAATTTTTAAAGTCTATAAATTAGTTTTGGCTTTGTGTATACCAACCATTAATTTCTGTGTCTGCACTATTTAATGTAGAGCTTGGTTGAAATATGTCCCTGTAGCTCTTGAAAAGATTGAGTTACGTGTGGACTTCCAGGGCAATTAAGGAAATGACTAACTACGCAATGGAACAAAAATACACACAATGTGGTGTGAATCCTTGCTTTGCAATCTTGGCTTCAGGCACGTTGCAGTTGCAGCCTGCATCTCCACTGCCAGATGACACGCATGTTCTGTAAATAAAAGATACCATTATCTATGCTATGACTATGGGAGGGACAACTGGGGAAGGTCTTCCCAGTGGGACAGCTGAAACAATACATGTCTTCCAAATAAGTTAACCCTAGGAAGTTAGACTTGTTGTGTTTGAAGCCCTGCTTGCTTACAACTTACAGCACATTAAACTGATACTATCAATTTCACCATTAGTGGAAGACAGGTTCAGTTTACCTTTCAAGACGTTGTCTTAGGATAGCAGAGATGCTCAAAGAGCAGCCAAAAAAAATGTAGATCCCAAGCTTTTAAGTTTTAACAGCAGAATATTGGACAAGGGCAATGAGGTGCATTGTTGGCAAACCAGATCTGTGCCTAGCTTAAAGGTATTTCAGCAAGACGTGAGATTTTGGGTGATTATTTGGGACACTGAAAACAAGGCCAGTTTATTGGTGCTGCTGGCAATGAGTTCTGCTCCAGAAATTCACCCTCAGGGCTGACCAGGGAATCACTGAGGGGTGCACAGCTGGCCCCTCATTGTTGGAGAGCCCTGCCACTGTATTCCTCATTACTAAGGCTATACCCTACACCAGCAGCACCAAAGGGAGAGTAATAGAGATCATGCATGTTTCTTGCTTTAAAATACACACAGCTTTTCAGCTCATGCTGTGCTAGTGCCAGACTCCTGCCTCCCCCAACACAAACAGCTTGTGTTTAATTTCCTTTGAGGTAAAGCTCTAACCCTTCCTAACCATCTAGAGGAAATCCTCCTGTTTTCAAAGTTTCTACTGGGATTCTGGTGCACTTGCCCTAGTGCCCGGGAGAGTCGCAAACCGGCAGTACAAGTCCTCTTGTGTTACAAGCCTTCAGTTTAGATTAAAGCTCTATCTACTCACTGGGCCAAAAGGCACAGAATGACTCAAAGAAAACTGCATTTGTCTCTGTGCACAGCAACGAATTTCATGGAAAATTAGACTCAGCATCAATACAGAGTTGGAAGTACAACACTGCCTTACATGCCCATGGGCTTTCAGTACCCATGCTACAGAAGATGTGGTTTCTTGTTTTCTGAATTGCTGAAAGGCTTTAAGAGTTTTGTGATTTTGCTGCTCATCAGTGTGTGACAGCAGCACAAATGACCACAGCAAGGTTCTGCAGAACAGAGCACAGCTTTTTCCAAGCTTACTCCCTTATTCCTATTCTATAACAAGAGCCTATTCCAGTCCCATGTCCTATTCCACCCTCTCTAGTTTAATATCTTTTCTGTCCTGATGTGTATCCCTGCTAACCCAGCCCTCTAACATGTGCCTTTACTTCAAATCTATGTCTCAAATGAAACGCAGTCACAGGGACAAAACTGTAGCTTTAAAATCTAGACACACATCTGAGAAGTTACTAAATTAAAATCTCTCCATTGTTCAGTTCTTCTCTTGAAAGAAGACCCATACCCAATCTATGCCATCATCCTTTCTCCTGTTTTTCAGTGGGGCAATTTCATTTATTCTGGACTTCTAGCAGTTGTTTGAAGTGTTTGGGGAAGACACAGGAGTTGCACAAATACCCATACGAGGTCTTTAACCACAAAATGCAAAATCACTTTCAGGTTTAATTTTAGACCTGAAATTCAGCTGGGCCTGTTCAGGGGGTCCCCTACAATTAATGAATCTCCATATCTACTACAGTGAAGCTTGACAGCTTCAACAGAGTTAGCAGTTTTTTTTGCTAATATGAAACTTGTAATTCAGTGAAGACTAGTGATACTACCATACAAAAGAGGCTTCATAGTTAAAAGAATGAGTATTTTTTCTAGATCAGATTCTTCAAAATGGAACGGGCTCCAAACATCCTTCTCTCTCCTAGCCCATCTCACAGAGACTCAAGAAAGCAAATCCCAATGAAGACTCTAAAAAAAGTTTTTAGAGGCAAAGAAAATGTGTAAAACACTAGCTCAGAGGTACTGAAGAAAGTGCCTGTGCTGTGCAAAATTTCACGTTACCAGGTTGATGTTATTGGCTTCTATATGCTTGAGCACGAGGGTGGCAAGGAGCTGTGTGTCCCAGTGAAGAGCAGGATTGTCTGGAAAATCCCTGAAAATAAAACGTTTAATTAGACATCTCAGTGCTGACAACTTTCTAAAGGACATTGAAAAAAAAAAAAAAAAAGATCTTTTTACTGGAGACTGAAATTAGGATAAGTGTATTGACCACATAAAATTTCTAAACCTTATTAGAAGCCTTACAAGCTGCCTGCTTTGGGGAAAATGGGTGTTGGAAGGGAAACAGCAACTGCAACACATTCCTCATAGATTTGCCAGGTTTTTTCTTGCTTCTTACTACCGAGTTCAATTTTCTAGCTGCTTTTCTTGAAGCGACTTCTCTTTTGTTCAGTGATTCTTGTTCTCTATTTATCCCAATCATTTTTTTCCTCTCTTCAGAGAAAGGAAATAACTAACAGCTCTTTATTTAAAAGCCTTCAAAAATCATTTTCCCAAAAGACTTTCCAGCCATATTTTACTGGTGAATTACTTATGAAAAATAACAAACTCCTGCTCTTATTTATACAGGAATAAGCCATTAACCTCAACAAGAGGACAAACAGCCATAATTATAGCGCATTTGCAACTGCGAAATAAAAAGCAAAAGTTATCCCATATTTACCTTGACACAACTGAGAGCTAAATACAACCTCCCCCCACAGTCATTTTGCATGAGTGGTGCCAAATAAACATTGCTTTTGCAAGGTTAAAAAAATAAAATAAAAGGTTATTAGTAAGAACAAGATTACATGGAGCTGCTAAAGAGCAACAGTGTTAAACTGGCCTTTTTCTCAGCTAGTCTGATTATGGCTATAAGGCTGTTTAACGGGTAAATGACAGGTAAAAGACTCCAAATGAGTCTTCTCATCAGACACCCATGCTTGGCCTCTGAACGGACCCTGCAGAGAGCAGGGGCGCCGCTTCCCAACACTCTTGGTGCCTCGCTGACTCCCAGGACAACAAGGGGAAAAGGCTCCTTGGCACATTCCAAAGCCAAGCTCAGCCTGGGTCTTCATGAGAGATCTTCTGGCCACAAATTTCCCCACTCGTGCTAAGAGTAGCAGAAGGAAGTGCCTAGAGCACGTGCTGGTCACCTGCGTTTTAACCATTGTGCTCCATGGTCCTGTTGGGCACAGGTCAAAGCAACAAGCTGGTAGCAGCCCCAGTAGCTACGGAAGCTTAACAAACTTGCGTCTAATCTGCACAAAACAAAACCTATCGGATCCCATGTCTACAGACAAAGCAGTCCTGAAGATATTACAAGTCCCACTGTTTCATAGGAGACTTCACATGGAGCATAGTTTTTAAATGTGCCTCAACTAAAATCATTCCGAGCAACCTGCACATTCACCAGGGCAAAGGCAAGTCTTAGAGAGCTTCAGTTGTTTGAATGACACCTTTGAGGTTGTGTCAAGCCTAAATCTGATAATATTAAAGTGCTAAATTAATCTAGAAGGGATTCTCTGCTGGCTGCTGATAATGTAAATACTATTGGCCAGCTGACACAGTAATCAAATGGACCTATGAAGGAAGTGAAGAGTCCCATTACAACAACAGGGATGCTCCAACAGCAAAATGTCAGGGGAAAAAAAAATGAGGATTGGAATTTATGATGTCCAGGAGGCTGTTAGAGTCACAGCCACCGCACTCAGCTTTATTGGGCTGTCTCCAAAAAGGCTGCTGGGTAGTGGAGCAGGTTTTAACTAGTTTAGACAGATAAAGATCACCCCTGTTCAATGGAAATGAACAGCTGGAGGCAATGGTTTAGAATCCCTGGAAATAAAACAATCCAAAGGCATGAGCAAATTAACTCCATGAACCCTGAACTGATCAGTGGGAGTATTCTGCAAAAGTTCCCCTTTCTCCCTACTTATCGCTGCTCCGACCAGCCCTGACTCCCACTAAGGCAAAGGACTCTTTTTCCTGGCGCAGACTTTGTTAGGCCTCAGCCATAGGGAAGCTGATCTGGCCAGGCAAGACCAGAATGTCCTTAAGCACATTCACCATGTTAGTGGTACAAGACGGGCCACTGAAGTTCAGTAATGGGGTCCAGGGAAGGATGAAGGTGACTATGAAAACCAAGTTGCTACACGGTGCATAGCAATGCGCACAAAAGGCATTTTTAAAGGACATCTCCACAGCCATTAGGAACTCTGTGAGCACATATAAAACTTGAAATTTGCTGTACTTCACAAGATGACCTATTTAGTACACATCTTCTAAGCATTTTTCAAATCAGTGCTCATCAAACCTAAGAAGTCCACTGAGCGCCCAAACAATTCAGGTAGGTTGCATCCATTTGTTTATAGCTCCAAGGCTTGGGATCAAAAATCATTTAGCATTTAAATGGTTAATTCCACACTGCCTTTCTGGCTAAGGCTGGTAATGCCTCTCAGATCAAGGTCGAAGGGCTGAGATAAAGGACTATAAAGGAGTGAAAATTAGCACATTCCCCGGAGCAGCCTGGAGCTTGTCCCAGGACACACAGGTCCCCAAGGCCGCCCTGCCCCAGATTGCTCCTTGTGGCCATTAGTCACTGTAACAGAGCAAGGTGTAAGTCCTGCCTGGATGGAGCCCTCAGCGGCCAGGAACAGAGAGATTCAGGGAAGAGGCAATACCAAATCTTTAATAAGAAAGCTCAGGGAATTTGCAGCTGTGTCTGGAAACTACAGACGAAGGTGGGGTAGAAAAGAAGGATTTAGTGCAAGTTAATCCACAATTCAGCCTTCTGCAGATCTTGTCCAGCAGTTGCAGCTGCCTAAATCAAAGAAATCAAACTCTCGTCTTGATGCCAGCTCCTTTCCAGGCCTCCTCTCTCTCCTACCGCGAGCTGTGCAGCACAGCTCCTCTTCTGCCTCAGCCTTGCCCATTAAAACTCGGTGCCAGCAGCATCTCCTGCCAACAGTATAGATGGTTTTGTAGGGTCATCTTTCGAGGAATGTCTAAGGCTCAGGATGGCACGATTCCTTCCCTCTGGAAGAATTCGAGTGTGTCCAAGGCAGGTTTGAAAACCTTCACACGTGTATAGCCAAGTTATACCCTTCTTACATGATACAGTACTCGCTCCCTGGCCAACTTTCCATTACTCATCTTCCACCGATCCTTTAGCAACCACCAGTGCATTTAGACGTCCAATCTTCTTTCAAAGCCTTCCAAGGAATTTATTCAGCTCATGAACTAAGCTCCCATGACCGCTCTTAAAGGTTAAATTAAAGAGTTAGGCCATGCAAAGTCCAATCACTTCACAAATGGGCTATCCTATGTGGGATACATGAAGTTAGAATAATCCTGGACCTGTCCTTCCTGAAAGCTGTGGGGTCCATGTGAGCCAGGGCCTCTTCGTATGCGACAGACACCCTGATGGGTCTGGCAGGCACCCCCTCTGCCATAAAGAGTTTATAGGCAGCAATGAGGGAGCAGAGTAACAACAGATACCTATTCCTCATCTCTATTAAAAATATTCTGAGACACCAGAGCAAATCTGGCAAGGTACTAATGTGATTTTCCAATCCAGGGTACGCCAAAAGGGTAAAGACGAAAGCGCTTTCCAAGTGCCTTTTTATCTTGCAGCATGACCGTAATCAGTCCATGGCTGGGGACCAGGAAACATTTTTGCATAATTTCTGCTCCTTATCCCTCCTCCCCGCACTGAATGTTTTTGCATTAAATCAGCACAAAGGTCAGTAGCTCGATGGTGCATTACATAGGAAACAGGTGAAGGGCTGTGCAAGAGGCTTCCAGCTGGGAACAGTGACCACAATGTGTGTGCTGGAACACAGCACGCCCTTTGTGTAGACTTAACTGCATAAACCGAACACCTGGGGATCAGAAAGCAAAGGAACCCACAGAATAAACTGGCGTGAGTGCACAGTGAGTGAAAAAGCCATGTGATAACCAGAGGCAATCACTGACCTTTATATCCATACAGCATCAAAGTAATGGAAGGAAAAAGAGTAAACAGAAATTACTGCATCCCCTCTAGAGAAGAGAGTTTTTATTTTTGTGATTATGCTAAGATAAGTTAAGACAGGCGAGCCCTAGATCTTGAAGCAGAGCCTCTAAATCCTTAAATTAATGACTATTTATAACTTTATCTTTCCATATCTTTCCATAATGGCCAAAAACAGACAGAAGGGAAAGACTGCTAGACTGCAAGTGTATCTCAGATTCAAACGAAAACATCACTCTTAGACAAATGGCCAGCACCTCTGAACACCATGTTATACAGAGAACAGATGCCATGTGCTAACTAGAATGCAGTGATCAACAGTTTGGGAGAGACAGGGAATAAACCACAGTGCTAAGCATGAAATGATCGACTGAAAAGCCACCTAAGACAGGGAAGCCAATTCTGAAATTTTTAGCACACGACAAATATCTCCCTGCTTCCCTTCGCCCAAAAAAGAACAGGCAGAAGGGACACGATCCTTTTCTCCCACTAAGAATATCTTTTCTTCCATTGAGAACTGAGAATATTGGGAGAATCCATTCTCCTAATATTTAGCTTTCATAATGTGTAAGTTTATGACCACTTCATACATATTTCGAAGGTAAATTAAGTAAGTCTAGATGCCTAAAACACAGGTAAGCACTGACATCATTACCACGGCCACACGCAGCAACAGTCCTGGTAAAGGGTGGGAGCACAGGGAGCTCTCCCCATGCTGCTTCCTCCGAACCCAGGCAAGCCTCTCCTCTGCTCCATGAACCCTCTCAGGGCACCTGTGTTAGAGAGTATCCCAACCACCTCCCCAACTCCCCAAAGGCAAACAGCAATTAGATCTCTGGGGAACAAACCTTTTGACCTGGCCATGAGGGTGTGTTTCTCTTAGAGAAATAAACATCCTTTGAGTTCAAATTCAAAGGAATTATTACAGAACATGAGGCTGCTTGTTTGCAAAGACCCATGCGAATGTCCCTGTACTCATTTATTTTCTGTAATGAATTATTGATGATTTCTCAGCAGAGTTGATGTCTATTCACAGAGATGACACAATTGCTTATCGTAATTTGAAATCTGGTATTCATTTGACGTCTGTGCCTCAGCACCTT